CTTTCCCTGAAAAGAGGAAAAAATCTGCCTAAAAGATTTCACATTAGTCAACGAAAAGACGCAGCAGGAGGCTAAAGTGAGGTTTCAGCATACTGGTTTTGAAGGTTTTTCTTTTTTTTTTTCTTCATTTTTAGGGTCTATTTCTATGGACACAAATTAGGCTTTGCTGAAAACAGCTTCTTTCCATAACTGAAGAATTATGATTTCTGGGAAGATGTTTTATTTTGAAAGGGCTACAAATACAGCTGTGGTATTTGGGTTGTTTGAAGAGGAAGATCTAAGTATAATTGAGCATATTCCTGTAGAAATGGGAGATTTAGTCCCTCAGTACGAAGTATATCCAAAATTGTAAGTTTGACTAAAAACTTAAGACAACCTGCCATCAGTCAAAGGCAGCCCTTTGGTCCTTGACATCATAAAAACTGGCAGGCACTCAGTAGCCTATGAGGAATATTCAGTACTGGTTAAAACTGAATGGAATTATTAACTTAAAGTACAGAAACAACATCAGCCTTATGAAATAATATTATATGTAGCTTCTATCATAAAACTATCTACAGGTATGTGCTACTTTATTACATTGCTATTTTTTTCAATCAGCAGAATTAAAAGAGAAGCTAACCTTCAGTGTACTCCTTGGTTCCATCCAAGGGATCAACCCATATTACAAGCTTTAAAAATAAAAAATAAGGAAAGTTAACAAATACAAATCATGTAAGTTACCATGCAAAATATATGTTTTACTTCAGTGCTTTTATTTCCTTACTCTTGTAAGGAAATAGAGATTCAATTTTTTAACTTTATTGATATGACTGAAGCCTACCATAGTATTTTACACAAAAAAAACAGCTTAAAAACTGATCGGAACTTCTCAGCAAATATCTTAACAGAGGTGTGAACTGAACATGGAAGTGACATTACTTTCTTATGTCCAAAGTAGATTCCTTCCAAATTAATTTGAATCTCAAGTTGTAAGAAGCAAATTTCCATTTCCTGTTATTGCACACAGGGATATGGAGCATTTCCAGCTCTGGAGGTGTGATTCTCATGACTACATTTCAGTTTTCAAACCAAAAAGAAACATTGGCAACATTGAAACAACCTTTCTTATTAATACATTCTTAGCTAAAATCACTAAGTAATAATACAGATAGTGTAAAATATGAAGACATGTATAACATTACCACATTACCTCTTCCTCTTTAATTCCTGTGTACTGAGCAGGACAAGTTTTCTTCAGGATTTCTTCACAGTGGCCGTTTTCAATTAAATCCTCAGTTACCTCCTCAGAGGACAGTTCCTAACAAAAGAATCCCCAGAATTATTAGAAAAAGGTGTTGGACTCACATCAGTTTGCCTTAGAACTGTGGATTTGCTTGCAGCTTACTTGACAAAGCTAATGCAATAGAAAGATGAAGTGGGATGGAAATATTAAAAAAAAAACAAAAACAAAAAACAAAACCAGATGATTTCTTAATACCTGCCAAAGCAAATTCCACTGCAAGTTACAGCAAGTTAAATTGTTAGTATGAAGTATGCCAGGTACTTACTTCTTCTCCTATGATTGTCACCTTGGGAAACTTCCGTGCCAGGGAAGCACAAATACTCATTTGTACCAGTCGGTCAGCTTTGGTCTGCAAGTCATTGGCTCCGGTCTGTCAAAGGATGGATAGAGATTTGTGTATTTCAGAATAACAACAACAACAACAAAAAACCAGTACGATGGCCCATATGTCACTCTGAGTATCTGCCTTGTAATGAAAAAGAAGTCTAATTTGATCAATCATCACCCTAATAGGTGATCTTGAGAGAGGCAGGCTAAAAACTGAAAGCAGCAGTTTCTCTAGCACCCCAGAACTAGGATAAACTGATACATCAGAACAATATTTACATGCTATGTTGTTATATGCTGGTGCAATTGTACTGAATATGTATTTGTGCAAACACTACACTGTGTGCAGAATAAATTAATAGAAGTATGAACCCAGATATAATACAAGAAGAGGGAAAAGCAAAAAATAAGATGTTAACAGGAAAAAAATAAATACTTTAAGGCCCACTGGAGAAACATAGCAAATTAGGAAAGAGGAGAAATATAGGGATGGTGTTAGCAAAAGGTGATTTAAACGTCCAGTTGATCTAGCTTGTTTAAAAAAAGTAATGGAAATGATTATGATGTATAAACTTCTAAATAGTGAATGGTTCCTTAGTCTATCAGAGGAAGACCACAGAGGGCCAGAAGCTAACCAGTGAAATTGAACTGGACACTGACACACATACATTTTTTTCCCAGCAAAAATAATAGAGAGGAAACAGTGGATTTGTTGGCTCAAGATGACATTAAACAATTACTGAAAGCCTTCCCAAAAGATGCAGTGTAGCCAAATGTGTTACTAGATGGGTTACAGAAATTCCTTCTTAAACATTAATAACCTGCTATGTAGTGGAAGTGGGTAATTTATTAATACTTTCTCGCCTTAATCTTCATGTATCTATGAATAGAGGAGCCCTCTAGGTCTGGAGACAGAATCGCAGCAAGAAGTACTTTTGTCAGGACTGAAATTAAGAAAGCCAGTTCATCCAAGAATTTGTATCTTAATTGAATCAAGCAAAAATTTTATTGGCTTGTATCTTATTCGGTGACAACAGGTAAATTGTTTTGTCCGGCTACAGAAATGAGCCATTGAATGGACTATTCCATTTAGAATCATGTCATGAGTTAATTTTTGCATGCTCAAAACCTAGTCTGTCCCTTATCCAAGTGCCTATCTTTATGAAGCTTGGTATTATTCTTTGAAATTTCCCTCTCATCCCCTAATACATTTGGTTGAATTTGGCACCGAGTTTAGACTTGAAAAGATCAAGTTACTGTAGAGAATGTCCTTTGTTCCAGGACACCAACCTAACAAAACTGTATGAAGTAGTTCTTCAAAACGGTCATCAATAATGTAAGAATGCTTGAACAAAAACAACCTACCAATTGGGGGGAAAAAAAAATACAAGAAGAAGAAATATAAATGGAGAGCTTAGAGTTGGCTGGAGGAGAGAAAACTCTGGACATCAGGAGAGGAAGTAGCTAAAAATTCAGCTGTTCTTGAACTGTTTTTCTTCATCTAGATAAATGGATAGGAAGTCCATGTGTTGAGGGAAAAGGTGGAACACTGTCTTCCTAGCTTTTCTAAAGCTTTCAATAAGGCCAGTTGGAATAGTTCTTGGGGTTTTGGTGACTGCAGAAAGAGGGTGAATGATGAGAAGCTGTTCTTGTGTATCTTTTCCCTCCAGAGTGTAAAGCAGAGGTGCATACAGGTTCTCTCTCTTGCGTTCTTCATCTTTATTCACCAGCTACCTTTCACAAGAAGCTTTCAGGAATTCTGAGATCCTGAGTCCCTCAAACAGGAACATCTTCTGCTGGTCATTGTTTTCAATCTAACTTTGTGTGTTTGTAGTATTCATTTGGAAAAAAAAGTATGTATAACCAGTGTTAATTAGAACCAATATCACCTGTTACTTTTGATAGTTTTTGTTATACTGTATCTACAATTATTTACTTAATTGGTTACAGAGCTTAAAATGTGTTCATTTGCTGGTTTTATTATATTAGAAAATGACTGAGCAATGCATTTCTGATTTACTGGGAAATAATATTAACGTGCATTTTTTTTTAAGTGAAAGTGAATTAAACAGATAAAAGCCAGCATGTAGTTTTAGTTAAAATTACCTTAACCTTGCTGGACTCTTAAAAATAACCTTAATGAAGCTTGTTTATGCATTTAAAATTAACTGGTTAATCAAAGTAAAGACAGTGCTTCCTTTGTACTTCTGGATGTAAGTATTTTAAGGCTTTCTTGTAGTGAAGCTGCATTAGTTTTTCCAAGAACCTAAAAGCAGGTTATGTAGGAGAGTATATTTTACTTATATGTGTCTGAGAATCCTACTATGCATCTAAGGATTTTTTAAAACATAGATCATTACTTTCCTGGTTTTTTTTAAATTTTCTCCCCCATACACCTGATTTTAATTGCTTAGGAAAAAACCAAATAAGAAAAACTTGCAAATGTTTTTTGTAGTGGTGAATATAACTGACCAAATGGCGGGAAAAAATCCTTTTTGCTTCTACTGTCTGAACTGACAATAAAAGACACAAATGATCAGGATTTTCTTTGCAACTGAAGTGCTCACTATCAGAAGAATGTAAATGCCAGCAATGACTTCAATGTAAAGGCCAAAAATAACGTAGGTACCTAATGCAGTCCATAATATTGTGACATACCTGTAAAGCTAGAATTAACTTCAAAAGTTAATTCCACCTATTCTAGTACTGTAGACAAAACAAAGATCCTTGGTCATCAGTGCAGCTTACTAACTTATAGCAAATTAAGAACTTCATGCAGACGATTGTAATTTTATTTTTTGACTTAGTATTAAATTTGAAAGTCTGAATTTATTTTGAAAAGTGTGATTTATGTTAAAATCTAAGGTTCTTTTTTGTTTGAAGAAACTAAACACTGATTTATCCTAATCCAAAAGTCATGAAGGGCACAGTACTTTAAGCTGTACTACAGATGTTAGAACACAGGTATGGAAATTAATGGGAAAGATACATTATTATGAATCCTGACATGCTGTCCAAAACTTGTGTTTTGTGAGGGGAATCAGGGCAAAATTACAGTGTGTTTAAGTATCTGAGCATTCTTTAGAAATACTGGTCAAAATACACTTCTTGAATATTTTAATCCTTTAATAAGGAATATTTCTTGTATCAGAGAGATAAGGACTTTATTTCCTTCCCCAGTTGCTGATCTTCAAAAATACCACTTTGACCTCTATCTAACTCAGCATTAATAAGATAAATTAAATTGGAACAAAGTAGAAGTAATACCTTCTCCACTATCCCCAGATCTCCTGCAGACATTACATTTCTAACAATTTTTGCAGCTTTTTCCGCAACAGAATATGCAGAGGCGACCACACGCATAAGTAGAGCTGGAGAAGCCATACTGAATGCTGAAAAGAAACAGAAAGCAAACTTGTACATTTCTGTCTTCAAGAGAAGACAAGAAGCAAAATATTTAACATAATATGCCAAACAGACAGGGTTTCAGCTGAGTAGGAAGGGGAAAGTGGGTTACTGCCTGTTCATCTAAATTTTACCATCCCTTCTGTATTTCTTTAACTTGATTTCTTAGAAGGGAATGTATTACACCATCCTTTCTTCCCTCCCCTCAACAATGCATGTCCTGTCATTCTTCCTCTTAAGATTGCCCTCTACGTCTGTTCCCCAGCACACATCAGTGCAATTCACTATGCCTTCAGTTAGCAAATAGAAGAATAACTATTACTTTTGTAAAAGGCCAGCAGTCATCCATTCCTCACAGCTCTTCTCTACCTCAGGAAAAAGAAGTATTGATAACCACGCTGTATTCTTTAAAATGCAGTGCTAACTGCTTTTTATGTTTTCCTGTCAGTTTTTTCTGTCTGTGTAGATTGCATGCTTTTTGGATTGGGCTCACATGAATGATATGCCTGTGCACAGAGCTAGGAAAAAAAAAGACGAACTTCTTAATCACCACATAGAAGGTGATGTATTGGGCTTGCCTCACAATCAGTATTTGCAGCAATTGCAGCAGGTATTGCGTAAGTGGCAGTGGGCTGTTTTACAACACCTTTCCTTTCAAGCTTGAGAAATCTACTTGGTAAAGTATAAGATAATGAGGTGATAAGGCTAGCTACTGTAGATGACATTGATGTGACCTCAAGTTCATGTCTGGTCACAGAAAAGGCAAACAGCAATATTGGAGGTATCAAAATGTCAAATTTATCTGGTTTAAGAACCTTTTCAGCATTTTAGAAACACTGTACAGGTATCTCTAAAGTAGGAAGATCTCTGAAGCTGAAGGAATAGTGATTGTGTAAGTAACTGCTTTTTGAATGCACTACTGTTAATTATTATTTACTGCTCATGGATGGGAGCAAAGTGCTCTGGAGTCGTGTAAAATAGCCAAGGTCCATACCCAAAGCACACGTGGGCTAATCTTGGACCGGTAGCAATGGTTACAGAGGAAATTTTGGAAATGCTACCTGTGGCAACAAGCAGCTCTCAAATAATAATGGAGCAAATATGTGTTGTAACACATGGAAAGACAGATGCTACTTTAAGTATATACCATCATGTGAAACAAGTTAACAGGAAGGAAAATGCAATGTAGTTAATTCTGTACTGAAAATATCTGGAATATGAGTACTGCTGAGAGTAGAAAAATGAGCATATTAGTTTGGGTTAAAGAATTGAGCTCAGAAATTAAGATTTTATGCTCAGCTTGTCATTCTTCATTTCACCTTTTACTGCACATTTGATCCTGCTTCGTAAAATGAAGTTAAAACTTATGTAATAGTTTTAAAGGCTTGATTTATTTAATGTTTGCATAAAGTTTTAAAAGACTCAGGAAACAATACAGAAATATTCTCTCACATTCTTGAAGCTCGGCCCAGTGTTTCTTGGGCACATTTTTCTTGGACATTCTTAAGGCTAACAAGTACACTTCTGTAATGAACCTACACCTGAAATCTCTACGCAGACCTTAAATTATTCTTATGAAAAACAAGATTTATTAAGAGAAACTGAAATGGGAGGTTCAACACCCCTTCCTCCCCAGTACAATAACACACTAATGAAGTGCAAAGTATGTTATCACTGCAAAAAGTGCCTTAAATTTTGATAGGGCTGCATCTCCTGTGTGGCATGTTTTCTGATGTGTTGGACCTTTCTGGTTTTATAAGCATGTGTGCTAGTTGGCCATAAGTTTCTCATCTCTGTAACTTTTTGGTCTCAACTAGTTAGTTTATAAGTTTATGGCACATTTTTTCAGATGAGGGCAATGTCTAACGTATACTTTCACAATACATTCAATACATTGCCTGCTTTGGAACAATAAGCCTGACTCTTAGAAAACTGTACTGTTTACAAAGATTGCGCAGCAACTACCCCTCGATTTACATTTGGATATTATTTTCAAGACCCACCTTGTCCTGCAAAGACCATCCATCCTTTTTCCCAGTCTGCCAACCAAACTGCTGGATGGTCTCAAGGTGACAAGTCAGCCTGCTTTGATACCTCCCAAAATAAATGACTTCTCCACTTCTTGTTATGCAAAGTCAGCCTGCTTTGATACCTCCCAAAATCAATGACTTCTCCACTCCTTGTTATGCGTTTTAACTTGGAAACACCGAAATATTACAGAATGGCTACTATTGATTTCCTAAACCAAGTATGAAGGATTTGTTGTTTTCGTGTCTTTTTCTGCAAACATCCGGATTGATAATTTCCCCTGATGGAAGCAGGCACCGCACCCCCCAGGCCTTTAGTGTCAGCGCTGAACTGGGACTGCTTCCGCTGCACTCCCCAGAGCCCCAGGGACCAGAGCTCCCCATGGCTTTGCAAGAGCTTTGGGGCCTCTTGAGGAGA